CACATCGTCGTCGTCCTCGTCCTCTCAATGTTCCATTTTTTCATTTAATCATTTAATAGGGTGACTGGTCCATACATTAACCCTGCCGACCCACTACCAAATTTTCCAGTTCATTATAAATGCATTTACACCTTTTGACTTGTTTTGTTTTTAATGGCTTTCTGGTAGTGCCTCGTAGACTTTACACCTGATAGTTTTCAAACCGTGATATCTAAGTAATAGATTTTTGAATTTTTCATTCTCAGATCGCTTTCGCATCAAACGGTAGGCACAGGTCCTAATTCGAGCGTCCTAACAAATTAGGAGCTTTTTTCTACATTTCCTGATGCATTGTGATGCAGTCTGAGGCTTCTCTTGAGTCCCGTATCGTTTATGTTTAGACATTAGTCCCTCCAATAGGTTTGGTGTTGTTTAGGGCATTTGAATCCTGGTGATTGCCCTATTATCACTCTAAAAACAGAACTAGAGCAGCCATTGCTCTGGTTCTGTCGACCTTGATGACTTATGGGTAGTTTGCACTCTAGTAAACCTTATATCAACAAAAACTTCGCTTTCTCTCAAAGTCCTGGTCAAATATCCAAGGGGGTCCGAACACGCACAAGATCTTTTCAAGTTATAGAAGGCGACCACTTTGCTTTTCCTTACCTTGGATCGCATCTCGTCTGAAGTGTAACTACTCGGGGTAAAATGGTCTGTCGGACCACATCCGTCTCATTCACTCGTTTTGGCCGTGATGCTGCCCCTCGAGCCTTGGAATCTGGTGCAAAGCGAGGATTGGTGGTGCGGGCGAGTCGTCGGACTAATAGTGAAGATTATACTTATTAACCCTCTTTAGAAACACGTTTTAAACAGACGTCTACTGGTGAGCCTCTACCGACTAACTGCAACAGGTCGCCACCTCAAGGACGCAACAAGTGAGAGTTCATCCATTTCGATAAAAAAATGAAAAAAAGCAAAAACAAATAGGTGTTGTTTTAAATTCGACCTGCCATTATTGTGTCAAATATATTCGCCGGTCAACTTAATACATTAAAGTAACTTAGAAGAATGTCTGTCATGGTCTGGAAGAGGGGCAATCGCAATGACCGTCTTAGGTAGACAGATGAATATATTGAATTAATCAGTTTATAAGTGGATGCATTTATATCCTACGCTATAAATTGGATTTCCTTAATTTAGACAGCAACCCTTATTTTATTCTAAAGAGCAGTCTTGCTTAATATTCGCGAGGTAAAAAATTGCAAGTTCCGTCAATATTCCTGGGCTTGGGGACAGTCACGTGCGCACGCCGACGACCCAATAACGAGGCTTGGTGCTTCCCCCGTTACCAGCCAATCAAAAGGCGGCTCCGAGCGTGTACGATAGAGCCGTATCACTTGTCACCAGAAAGCGGCGTCCCTCGGACGCGTACATCAATGTCCTCCGCTGATTCTGCTTCTGTTGAGGCAGGCCTGGACAACAGTGGGGCTGAAATTTTGAAAGCAGGTAAAGTTGATGAGGACGAAAGCACTGAAGATGAGATCGCGCAGGCCTCGGATACTGTCAGTGAAAGATCCACGAAAGAAGCCAGTGAGGAGGAAAAATTAGAAGATGGAGAAGAAGAAGAAGAAGAAGAAGAAAAATTGCCTGTTGAAAGCACAGTAGAAACGAACATGGTTGAAAGTAAAACTGAGGCAGACATCGACTGGAATGAGGAGTTGATTTCGGAGAATGTACAACCTCCATCTAGGTCTAACCATGATGTTGATGTAGTTGAGGCGGAAGCCTTCCCACAAAACTCAGAAAATACTCCAGTGTCACCGAGTGCAAAACACATTATGACTCAAGAATTCAAGAAACCATTGCTTCAGCCGTCATCTGATACGGTAGCCGTCGAAGATCCAATGACAACACAATCTGATGGAACTGCGGAAGTGGTTGAGGAGGTCCCACTTTCCGTTAAGGAACAGGTTTCTATTTTTGCAAATATGAAGTTACAAGAAACTCATGGTAAACCGAAGCCCATGGTAGCCGCAGCTTTCTCGAACAGCTTACGAACAGAACCCCCTCCGTCCATGGACACCGGTTTGCCAGACCAAGTTCAACGAAGCTCGCCGAACAGAGTTGAGGAGTTCGAAAAAACGTTGCCGCCGCAATCGTTTGATATTACTGAGACAACTTCCATGGAGCGTGACGAGCCGCAAAGCCGTCAACCCATTGCGTCTAACTTTGACAGACCTCAACCACATGATCGACAAGCAGAAATACCACCGCCTCCAAAAAAGTTTGTTCCCAAGACGTTTTCTTCGGCGAATCCTTTGACTTTCGGTGTACCCTTCGGCAACAACTGTCATTTCACTAAACCTGAACCCCCTGCAAAGGTGGCTGCCCCATCGCAGTACCTGGGACCAGACGTCGTTGCTCACACGACGAGGCCTCCTGTTTTGATTCGATTACGCAGACCTGGGCCCGAAGCTCCTTGGGGTTTCACTATATTTGGTGGAGCCGACTACGGTTGTCCACCATTTATAAGTCGAGTGAGTTTCTCAACCTTTAATTTTTTTGCATCCCGTCCTCAACATGTCCTTATTCGCTTGTTTGCAAACTGGCAAATGCATTTAAGTAATCGTGTGTGTTCAGTTTTGCCAAGAAACGTTTTAATCTTTCCGTCAACTAAATGATTTCTCTTGTTAATAATTCCTGGTGATGGGCTACTCAAATCCAATCCTAGTGGATTCGATTAACTTTTAGGTCTTGTTAATCCATTCTACTAAGAGGGTTTTGTAAAGCTTTTAACATATGCTGATCTGAATCCTCCAGATTTAAGCCATGCAGTAAGGGCTTTGGAACATTAACGCGCATTCACACTGCTCAATTTTGTGTCCTCGTGAAAATGCGTGTTACAATATTACTACAGAGGAAGACTGATTTTCCTACAAATTCTGGCCATTTCCAGTCGATTACGTCTGGTTGACTAATTTTGGGTTTAACCTCGCTAAGTGACTTGGTTGCGCCAGCGTTCGATCCATAGCACCATTCTGGCCACGTCAGACGGCTGCGGTGACCTCGTGGTGCAGTTTTGCCTCTGCAGTAGTGCTTATTGGTCTACCTCTCCATGACCATGGATTCTTTCAACAGATTCAAACTTCCATAGTCAATTACCTTGTGAGGAATAACTGGCTTTGTTCACGCAGGCGGTAGCGCTACTCGGTAACTTGTTAGTGCCAAATGACATAACTCCTGAATGGTAAATTTCATGACCATGATAACCATTATCAGGCGGCATCAGACAGTTACTTGTGTTGTAAAACTGTAATCAGTGTCGTTTAAGTTCTCGATATTGTCCTCAGCTTTCGTTGCAGCTAAGCTTTTTCATCAAAATTATCTTCTGAACTGCTTCAAGTTCATTCACCTCTGTTATTGTGTGCCACATGTAACTGATTCCTTGCTGCCAACTTGGAAGTGCTCTAATTCGTAGACTCCATTCCTGCTGAAATACTGGGGTTTATTTATTACCTTGTAACTAGTATGGCGATGAAAAAAGTGAATTCGCTAGGTTATTAGTGCCAAGTGGGTGAGTAGTATAACGTAAGTTAAACCAAATTTTGTAATCAAGTGGTTTTGCGTGCTCTTCAACAAAAACACAATTTCGCTAGTAGTATCTAGTCAAAGCCGAATGTAGCCTGAGGAGTTTGACATGAACGCCAGCTGCACTTTGGCATATTAAACACTGAAATTCCTTAAAGCCAATTTGGCATGATTTATAAAGTCATTCTGTTCGCCTTGAAGCGTGTGAATCTTCATACTGAATGTTGATTTGGGATACATAGTAGGAGTTAAGCGGCGACAGGGGATAGTTCTTAAGAAGAGGTAATTTGACCTATTTTTCTTGCCCACCAAATGTTTTCTTAAAGTTACTGGAAGTGTGCATTTTCAAAAAAATAATTTTAAGATCTTGAAGTAAGCACCTGCTTAACTTTGCTAGATCAAACACTCATGATTGCAGATTTAAAGTTCATATGCCCAGTGGTCACATGAAAGTGCTCCAGTTAAATTTAATAGTACACTTTTAGGCTGTCTTTTTTGCCTTAGTGGCCTTGAATTAGAGATAAATACCAGGCTTTTCCAAGTTTCTGTTCAAGTAAATTAACCAACCTCAGGATATGGTAGTGCGTTATCCGCATGTTGTAGTGAGGTCGACAAAAAGCCATTCAGGTCCACGGAATGAGCAAGTGCTCCTTCTAACCAGGCAATTTTATTGATCTTGGCGTCCTCGCTTCATTGTGAGCTAGAACAATTTTTCTACTTGATTTCCATTTTTCATGTCTCAATGTCTAAGGAATTGATTTGCCTGTGATACAAGAATAAAGCTTTGCGTCTGATTCCAGCAAGTGGTTGTTGAAATTTTGGTTTTTAAAAAGCCGTAGCTTCACTCAAGGAACTCGTAGCATTTTTACCACCTTTGCCAGTACACAACCACTGGGTACGCTTCGATTACGAAATAAGCTACCGTATGCCATTGGAGGCACATCGTAATTCTTGTGTGTCACTTGTTATACAATGGTTTTTAGTGACCTAATTAGATCATTGTTCATTTTTTGCGTGTCTGAGGTTGGTCTTATAAAAGCTTTAAGTGAAAACTTAAATCAGCCCACACTTTGCTTGTCAATAATTTTGTTATCAACCATTGCCGTTGTGGTCATAATGTTACGCGGATTAAAAATTCATGGTTCTACTACGATACATTCTGCAAGCATTGCTAGATAACACTACCCACACTTGCCACTTTAAGGCCTTTGGAAGGTACTTCAATTTTGCTGTTAAGTTAAATGTCAATGCTAAGGTTACGGACCTCAAATGTTGTATAATTTGATTTATCTATCTAAATGGTCTGTCACATTTAGTGCTGAATGTATTTTGTACCTTTCCCTGGATGTTCTTATCTGTGTACCAAAGGAGGAAATAAAATCAAGGCTACAATTTGAAAAAAAAGTTTTGCAGAGGCTATGGTGCAAGGTTTGCCTAGGTCAAAAAGGATTTTTATTCCTTAGGATAAAAAGTACGACTGCTTACACAGTTTGAAATTGTGCAAACGTGTGTCCTACCAGAAATCGGTGAAATTTCTTTTATTTGAACAATTTATTTAATTTTCATTACCAGCTATAACGCAATGTAAACCATTCTTCACAGCTGGTTTTGCCAAACTTAGCGCCAAAACAATGTAGAAGCTGGTCAAGTCTTAGATGGCATTAATGGCCTTTCTAGAGGACAACCTGATCACTTGTACCCTGAATTTCTTTGAGCTTCAGTTTACACAGATTGAATGCATCCACTAAGACTGAACTGATTGCGTAGTAATCTAACGGTCAGTAAAAACATTGCAGAATTGATTAAATGCAGTTGTGGAAATTCGGTACCAAACTTTTTTTGAATACGCTTGGGATCTACAAAACAAGCAGGACTAGTAGCAACAGCAGAATTCAAACAGAGTCAGCTATTTATTGTGGTAAATAGTCCAAACGTACACCAACGATACATATGCGTGTCGAAAGAATATGGAATTTTTCACTGATATAAGTGTAAATGATCCGACAAAAGCCAAACAGTTAATTTGGACGTTTGAATAAAGCGTAACCTTTCTTTAACTGCCATTTTTACATAGAGCAGCCCTTCGAAATGCTATAATGCGTGAGTAATGTGAAAAGGCTTTTAAATGTGCTTTATCTATCGAAGATAGTGTCTTTTCCAATAATACCCCCTGTGTGCGCAAAACTCACTTAAAAGACTCGATAATGTGCATTTATTGATTAATCAAGCACTTATTGAGGATTTTGGAAATTGTGGGCTTTTGGTTGACTCAGCATTTTTATTACTTGACCTCGTACCACTACAGTAAGTCGCCCACACTTGATCATCAGCTCGCATCTAAACGCCAGACGCACAGCCTAGATACGCATTCAGGGTATCGAATCCCAATCATCTTCTGTTCAGCAAACTGAAACACGTCTCGTAAATATTTCTAATTTGTGTTCGACAATGATAAGTCTTCTGGGCATTTGAAGGAACTATAGACCCTAGCACTAAGTACCTTAATCAATATTCTTTCTAAAATAGACCGATTTTACAGGCTTGTAGGTTTAGGTTAATGCTCTGATTTTGTGCATTATTAGACGTAAGGAAACCATCACTTATTTTCTTCAGCTTAAAGTGTATTCTTGTTGAGTTGTAGCAATCTTTATAAACGACGTCTACTTAAAGTGCTAAAGACCCTTACATCTATGACTCAGAAATCTTTGTCTTTATCTCTTTATCCTACATCGTTATTGGTTACCTACGAGTTTTTAATACATATGCAACTCAGTGACATTGCCAGCAGCATCTGCAGCATCTTTTTACATCAATGTAAGTAGGTTTTGAGGATGTTTTACAATCTTGCCATCAAATTTTATTCTCGAGCTATGAATTTGTACTGTGGGATATTCATCCATGAATACGAAACGGAAACCGTAGTTCCACTGCTGAAGGAATCACTGGGTTTCGGTCCCTACTTTACTCGGACATTTTTGCATCTGAGAATGCAATGACTGAATATCTTCGGCAAAAGTATACCTGTTGCTTTCGGTTTGTTGGTTTCATAGATATTGCCTCCCAAATTTACCATTCCAGTTGTGAAACACATTTACCGAATGTTGATCATTTCGCTATCTCATTAAATCTCAAGTAGTGAAGCTTCTAGAAAGTCAACGTATTCTGGAGCTCGACAGAATCTTTTATATTTTGCATGGCCTGCAATTTTCAATTAGCCATTAATTACAATGAGTTTGCAGTTGATACACCTGAATTCCCATGTGTTCATCATGTTTTTTCGAACAATAGTTGACCATGTAGACAAGGCTGCTGTGATGTCGCAAAGCAGCTTGGCTGTAAACTATCAAATTAGAACTAATTTTTAAAACTGCCAAAATGAAATGTTATTTAGATTTCCTGTACTGGTGGCTAGCATGACCTGGCGAGCTCATTCGGAACTCTTTGCCATCGAAAACATTCCAGCTAACACAGTCGGATTAAAGAAGATGGTTTTCTTAAAGCATTGCTTTTATCAAGTGATTTTCAAACCTTGTTCTGTTGAGGTTATTATTTTATTTTAACTGATCCAATAATCTGATTTTTTGGAATTATTAATATTTGCGTAATGATAACCAGGACAAAGGTATTCACCACGAACGCGAGGGTAAGCCTACATGTTTAGAAATAAGTGAATGATTTTTAAGCTTTTAACTATTGTCTTTCTTGCTTAACTCTTCCATCTCGCGAACCTGCTGGAGTTCATTTTGATTTTTTTGTTAATCAAATTTAGGTAACTTTGCGTAGCATTGCTGCGAATGCAGGACTAGAAGTTGGCGACATTGTGGTTAGCATTTGTGAATCGCCGGTACGGGATAGTGAGCACTCGCAGGTCAAAGCCGAAATTCTCCGCGCCGGCAATGAACTCGACTTTATGGTCGTCAAGTGAGTCTTCCCGACAACTTGACTGGTCGGCTAATCAAATACACCAATTTTCCAAAATCACGATTTTAGTTTAGAGGCACGCTCTACTGGCTCAAAAATAAAGGCGTTCCCTGGTGTAATGCATACGCCGGACTGAATTCCAGCAAAGGCCTGGTCTCAGCCAGGAGGTGGGAGGTTAGCGGACACTAAACATTGTTGAACTGCAGCAAAAGCATAAGTACGTCTGTATGGATAGTGGAATGGTGTGGGATTAGTGAACTGTGTGAAAGAGAGGGATTATGGGAAATGCATCAGCATAAAACATGCTATAACATCGACATCCCTACAGTTGTCAAATATTGACGCTAAGCCTGCGAAATTGGCTGTTTTCAACAATACCCTCCGGATTTCTTGATTTAAAAATTAACATGCTACTAATGCTAATTTAAAAAACCAAAAACCACAAAATAGTCTGTAATCTACCTTGCTAGTAGTTTTTTAACAGTTTTGCACTTCGTGGTAGTGTTGATCTCGTCCTCACCATGTTGATAAATTAGGTTGGGTTATCAATAAAGTGGCAGTTTCGAAATACATGCAAAGATAGCAGGTCGCTGACTTGATAGAACTTTTAGTTAACGCTCGTGCGTAAATAACTTGGTGAAAAAATCCTTGCTTCGTTGACTGTGAACCAGGGGCTTTATCGATAGGGTTTTATCCTATGTGTTTCCATAATCTTCCCAATGTCTGCAGATAATTGGTATTTTGGTGAAAACTGGTCAAAACTAAAAAAAAATAAATAATGCGCATTGCACATAAAGTCCTTTTATTACCCAACAAGATTTATAATGTCAACAGTTTTTTCCTAATCCGGATTATTTTAATCAATAGTGATCCGGACTGTCAGTCGGAATGCACTACCCATTTAATTAAGGTAGGATCGTTTTATTTAGGTTGTCAAAGATTACAGAACTTAGAGAAAAAATATGTTGTCTTGTTCCAAGGAAAGGAACTACTAGTTGGAAATGCATAGTTTTGCGAAAAACGCCCCATTTTAGAAAATAAAACGATTATTTAATAAAGGTGCGCTGTGATCTTGACTGCAATTTTACTGATAATCTTCTATGGTTATGCGAAGTCCGTATTCAAGTTACGGTAACTTACTTGTCTAGAACTGCAACACGGAAGTGGCAAATACAAACGCAAAAGCAAATTCTCTTTTCTACCCTAATCTCAGTGGATCCGAAGAAATACCATGATTCATTTTCTCTGTTTTTTGCTTGTTTTCGTCAAGACAGGGCATCGACAAAGACATTTTGGCTCAACGAGCTCCCCACCTATTGCGCCCACCGGCGTCAAGCGTAACTGACAGCAGCGGAAGTCTGCACGCACGGAAGACGTCCTCAGGGAGCGTTACCTACCTGCCTTGCCGAACGCCCTGTCAAGCCGGCTATGCAGATAAGGCCACACGCACACGCTCCTTCCGTCTGCTCGACGAACACCTTAATGCTATGAGTGGAGAGTCGCGACGAGCGGAATCATTCCAAGTCCAGTCCGTGAGTAATTGGTTCAACTATCTTACTATCAGTAATCAGGTTTTTCTGCGGCCACAATATAATCTTTGTCTGGACTTTTTAAACGTGGAAGCCCGTGTCATATACCGACGAGGTCAAACGTCTGGAGGTGAAAGGAAGATGAGGCGCGAATAAAGATTTATAACGACAACGAAGGCCACGCGAACCTGCACTTTGCTGGCAATCGCCACGTTTAAGTCCTACGACACAATTTGAGGTCTAATAGGAACGGATTTTTGCACAGAATTACAATCCTTAAAAGTACTCAAGTCACTTAAAGCAAAGTCGAGGCATATAATAGTAGAAGCATCCGTTCAGACAAGTCAGTGTGGTGGCCAGTGTGTATAATTAGCAAAAGAACAAACTGCTTTTACAAGCGCTTGAAATTTCGTAGTTGTGGTGGAAACGGTTTCGCATGCATTATTATGACGCGTAGTGAACAACAAAGTCGGTTGATGACGGCGAAACCGTTGCCAGTGTGGCGGATCTGCCAAGCATAAACGGTGGAATCGCTGTGGACTTTGTTGTTGCCAGGACTGCAAGCGTGCTGCAGGGGTCAGGTCGTGGCATTGTCGCAACAATCCGGTCCAAGTCGGCTCACAGCTCGGCGCTGCACAGACACCGACCAGGCCGTGGAGCAACATCGGTGTGCTTATGTTGGTCTGGATGTGGCCAGAGGTGGAACTCGAATGTGCCAAAATGACTCAACAGTGAGCCTCCAACGTAAAAAAATGGAGTGCATGGATTAGGATTAAGAAATGTCAGGCTGTTGCCAAATCAATGTCAGTCTTTGATTGTACATTTCGTTGATAGTATTGTCCTAATTATGTCTGCGATTACTGTTCTTGGTGTCACATTCTCTCAATCTTG